TCTTGCTTTTCTGTTGCTTTTATTCTACTGTGTACAGCGACCTTGAGTGTTTTGAAAGGCGCTTTCAAATAAAATGTATTATTATTATTATTATTATTATTATTATTTAAGCCAGCATCGGCATCATTTTTGGAGTTTTTGTCTCTTATTTTTTACAAAAATCTGAGCGAGACCTGTACGCCGAGACGACATCCTGATGCAGTTCTGCAGCATTTTTCTAACGATAGCAGACTGACAGAAAGAGGAAAACTGACACTGTTGAGACTATACTCAGTTTTCCTAAGCCGGTAATCATCTGTTTTATGGTACATTACATATGAATGTTTTCAGAGAGTACATGCACATTTTTACACTTAAAAGAAAATATATTTCAATTTCTATATGTTTTTATAGGTTGGACTGTTTTTCTGATTCTCCCCACTTGAGATCAAGTTGAACTGCAGGTGGTCCGTGAACTAAAATGAGTTTGAAAGTCCTGGGGTAGAGATTTATTTGCTCACCAGCACATTTGGTGACCAAATTAACGCGACTGCTGTTAAAGTTCAGAGGCTCTGCCACGCCTGTAGTTTTTGCTACGAACACACAAGCCTGCATTCTGAGATTTGTTGTGGGAATTCAAAAAATCATTGTGATTGTTTCCCTGTAAGTTTCACTGTAATATTCCTTCATTTAAATACATAAAACTGAGCTTCAGTGGGATTAGCACTAGACTGACTATGAAAGTCTCCTGTCTGTGTGTGATATGCTTCACGTAGTGGTGGAAACCAGAACATCACATGACCGGCAGGATCATCCTGTGACTGAGCCTGGACAGGGCGGCAGTGGGGGGGTGTCTCAGGTCTGACTTTGGACCGACGACCAGATTAACACATCAGTGCTCTCACCTTCCTCATTAAACTCTCTCATGTAAGTTTTGACCGTTGACCTTTTAATAAAAATAGATTCTTTGTGCTTGCTGAAAATAATACAGCTACAGAGATGGATTTGTGGATTTATACCCAACTGATCACAGATTTCTGACAGCACTAAAAGCTAAATCACATTTCAGTTTTATAACATTGAGAAATCCGTTTTGGTAATTGTGATTTCACTTGATTAACCTATTATTTAATTTAATGTATGATATAAATAAATCCCACACAATCGTCAGTAAATTGTGAGTAAATCTTTTATTAAATTAGTAGAAAAACGTTTTTGCTAGAAATTTATGGTGGCTTGGAGCAACAAAGCAAAAACCTTTCACCATTTGAAAAGATGTTTTTCCAGATTTTCTGCAACATGAAGTAACAAGATGTCGTTATTCACGATATCAGATTTTCATTTCATGAGTCTGATTGTAAAATAAAAAAATAAATACAGTAACATAAAATTGACATTGGCAACATCATTGCAATGCCTGCAGAAATTATGGGGGAAATAATGATAATATTAAAGCTGTTAATGTGTGTTTGCTGTCCTTTTGGCAAACGAATCAAATGCAAAACAATTGTAAATGGATGTTTTGAGGGAGCCGCAGTTATTTATGTTATTATTATTCCCATGATATTGGCATTTCCTTCCTAAAATTCCCAGTTGCGACAACATGGTTTTGCTATTGTGTTTTCTGAAGTGTTCCTGTGGAGCTCCTTCCAGGAACTATTCTGAAGAGTGGCGTTTAATTCTAATTATGCCATCACAGATTACACATTTGCACTGTGGTTCTGTTGTATAGCGACCTCTCAGACTGAGTAAAGACCGCACAAAAAAA